GTGTGTGTGTATTACCAATCGGTGCAATCTAAAAACTGCGCTGCGCATTTTAATAATCGTATAATTGAGCTGCAAATTGAAGAATGTCTTAATATTTTATTTTTAAAATTTATTTTTTAAAAATTCACTTCCATTTTTATTCTTTTACTCACAACGTGGAACATTCACATATATCATATTTTCAATTCGAAAGTATAGAAATGTGAAAGTTAAAAATACAATTAAAATGAAAATTAACTAATGAAACTGAAGAGCTCACAAGAATGATACAATGCCAGGTATCAAATTCAAAGTTCACAAAGAACATTTAATTTATGTTATATTTTTTAATAATAAAAAAAAAGTTCTTATTTTTTAAAATTCAAAATACCAACGCAGTCCTCAGATTGCTGCGCAATTATACGATTGCTAAAACGTGCAGCGCAATCTAAAGATTGCACCGATCGGTAATTAGTGCGAAACATATGTATGCATGCCCCGTACGACAAGATAACATACCCTGTACCACATTACAACGTATCCGATAGAGAGAGCCGTCGACAAAGGAGTGTATATATACATACATAACCCGTACAACATGATATCATACCCGGTAAAGAGAGCCGTCGACAAAAGAGTTTAAGACATGATAACATACCCGGCAAAGAGAGCAGCCCACAAAGGAGTTTGAGACATGATAACATACCCGGTAGAGAGAGCCGTCGACAAAAGAGTGTATATATACATACATAACCCGTACAACATGATATCATACCCGGTAAAGAGAGCTGTCCACAAAGGAGTTTAAGACATTACAACGTACCCGGTAGAGAGAGCCGTCGACAAAAGAGTGTATACACACCCCGTACAACATTACAAGGTACCCAATAGAGAAAGCAACGGACAAAGGAGTGTATATATAATACATAAACCGTACAACATGATAACATACCCGGTAAAGAGAGCTGTCCACAAAGGAGTTTAAGACATGATAACATACCCGGTAGAGAGACCCGTCGACAAAGGAGTGCGGGTTGTCGTGCACCTGGAAGGTTGGCGGGGAGGAGCCCATCACCTGGAACCTGAGCCACAGCAGCGCCAGTGTCGACACCACCATCAGCGACACACGCACCGCCAGCGAACGTTGCCATGATGCTGCATGGGGACTTGCACACTTCTGCGCACAAGCATGTTACGTGAGGGAGAGAAAGAGAGAGAGAGAAAAAAAGTTTGAGTCAAGAAAGTGAAACACAATGATGAAGAAAATGTTTGTGATAATGATGAAGCTGATGATGATGACGATGATGATGCTGCTGCAGCTGCTGCTGCTGATGATGATGGTGATGGTCAATGAAGAAAGAGAAAATGATGAAAATAAATGAAGGTCAATCAAGAAAATCAAATTGATGACAATAATACTGTTGATGATGATTATAATGATCAATCAAGAAAAATTAAAATGATGATAATAATAATAATGATCAATCAAAAAAGTTATAAAGATTACAATTATAATAATTTTGATGATGATGATTATAATGATCAATCAAGAAAATGAAAATAATGATCAATGATGATGATGATGATGACAATAATGATGATGATGACAATGACAATAAAGATGATGATGATGACGACAATAATTACAAAAATAACAATGACCACGATGACGATAATGCCAACAACACCCACTCTGACCTTACTGCCGGCCGAGCCATTAGAATGGCCGGTGGTCCCGTCTGTATCCGGAGACGTGTCTGACTGGCTTTGGCCGAACACAGAGGCCAAGTCGACCTGACAGATGCACAGCACGTCAAACGCCACACACACGCCCTGCACACACAGAAGTGAGACAATTCCAATTTAGCTTTCCTACCAGGCACAGGCACTGGATAATAATAATAATAATAATAATATTAATAATAATAAAAATAGCACTAACTACTACTATAACTACTAATAATAATAATCATTATAACACTAATAATAATAATAGTAATAATAATGATAATAATAATAATATCAATACTAATAATAATAACAATAATAATAATAATAATATTAACAATAATAATGATAATAATAATAGTATTAATAATAACAATAATAGTACTAATAATAATACTAATAATAATAACAATAATAAAGATAATAATATTAATAATAATAAATAACATTATTAATAATAAAAACAATAATAATGATAATATTAATAATAATAATAATTAATAAATATATAACATTTGTATGGTGCATACCTCCGCTCAACAGCAAGCTCTCACTCCCCTAAACAGTGATTCCTTGCTCTTTGTTGAGAGTTGCCAGAGCACAGAACACACACACACACACACACACACACACACACACACACACACAAACACACACACACATCTATCTCACTCACCATGACAGTGATTCCTTGTTCTTTGCTGAAAGTTGTCAGTACACAGAACACCACAGACAGACACACACACACACACACACACGTATATAACCGTCTGACTCACCATAACAGTGATTCCTTGTTCTTTGTTGAAAGTAGCCAGAGCACAGAACACACACACACACACACACACACACACACACACACACACACACACACACACACACACACACACACACACACACACACATATATAACCGTCTGACTCACCATAACAGTGATTCCTTGTTCTTCACAGAGCAGCACAGACATACACACACACGCATGCACACAAACACACACACATACATACAGAGAAAAACGTATATAACCATCTCACTCACCATGACAGTGATTCCTTGTTCTTTGCTGAAAGTAGCCATAGCACAGAGCAGCACAGAGACTAACAGCCAGGCCAGGGAAAAGCTCGACGGTTGTCTACTGCTATCTGAGGGACATAACACATAAACAGAATGTTGTTGTTGTTGCTGTTGTTGTTGTTGTTGTTGTTGCTGTTGTTGTTGTTGTTGTGGTTGTTGTTGTTGTTGTGGTTGTTTTCAAATCCCTTTAGCAACGAGCATTTTTGCACTAGAACCTCTCAAAACATGCGTTCAATAAAGATAATCTGGTAATTAGAAAAGAATGACGGACTAGCTTTTAAAAACAATATCGTCGCAGGTGTAAACCTTTTAAAATCAGTTGAAACCATCGACTAGGATTTTTTATTAGTTGTTGTTGTTGTTGTTGTTTTCAAATCCCTTCAGCTGCGAGCATTTTGCTCTTGGCATCGCAAAACCTCCCTCAAGTAACCACATGTCCTTGTCATCTGGTCAACGCCAGAGTAGAGCAGGCTTTGTAAGTCTGTAGGTGTGTGTAGGAGCCTGCGTCGAAGAACTGCCAGGTTTGGGAAGTGAATGAGAAGATGTTCAACAGTCTCCTCGTGGTAGTCACAGTGTCTGCAATGGGGTTCCCATATGGTGTTAATTTTGTTTATGTGACATAAACAGCTTAATTTGAAAAGCACAAGTTCCCGTTCAACAGCAAGCTCTATGCATTTTACAATCTGTTATTACCCAGTAGGACGTAGGATAAACCAACAAACAGACAGACACAGACAAACAAATAAACAGACAGACAAACCAATCCACCTTGTGTTGCCCCGTGGACGAAGGACAACCAAACAGACAAATAGACAAGCAAACAAAAAGACACAGACAAACAAACAAACACACAAACAAACCAACAAACAAACCCACCTTGTGTTGCCCCATGGACGTAGGACAGGAAGGAGAGGATGAAGAAAAGAGCACACAACAGGTCCGCTCGTCCCACCACCGCCGACACCTGGAGAGAGAGAGAGAGTAGAGAGAGATAGAGAGAGAGAGAGAGAGAGATGGCGACATGGAAAAGAAAAATAATATGTAAGGCATCTCGAAGAAATCACGGGCTTGTCAAAATGACGAAATCCAAGAAACTGTCATTTTTCTGCTGATTTGGCAAATTTTATCGAAATTGAGTTTTTTCAGTCAACAGCCTAGTCGTGGCTCTGTTGTTTAGTTTAGTTCAAGTGAGAGTTTTGAGGCACTTGTAACACAATAGCATCATACAAGTGCCGGAGATTAGAGGTGTTATAAGAGAGTAAAAAAACGCCAAAAAAAAGAAGGCAGGGAGAAAAAGACGGCAGATGTTCGATAGGAAAGAAGGAGCAAAACCACACCAGAGCACCTGCCAACCACCCTCTTCGTGGTGAAATAAAGGGCTCGTCAAAATGATGAAATCGAAGAGTGCGGCATTTTTCGGCTGGTTTGGCAAATTTTATCAAAATTTTGTTTTTTAACTCAACATCTTTTATGTCCACTTAAAAACATTTCTTTATGAATTTTACCGAAAAACGTTGATTAAAGGCACACAAACTGTAACTTTGAAGTTTTCAAGGACTCTTAAGCTATGGAAGTGACCAAACTAGGGCAGCCATTTTCTCGCTAATTTCACCTCTGAACCCGGTGACCCCCACCTCCTTCAATCTGAAAAATCTCAATTTCTATTCAAGATACAACAGTATTTTTTTTCCATCCAAACCAAGGCAAGGGAACAGGCTTTAAGATGACACCAATAACTCCATATTACGACTAAAAATTGACGAGCACCTGATCCCCAGCGTCGTGACACAAATAGGCTTGTCAACCTTCTCAAAACTCTGTCAGGAACATCCAACATTGAGGCATCAGACTACATAACAACCAACAAAATCACATCAAGTGGGACTGCTTTTAATAATAATTTGTATAGCGCATGTCCCCGCTCAACAGCAGGCTCTATGCGCTTTATGCTACATTATTACCCCAGCAGACCATACAACACTCCGTAACATTCTCAGCTTCCCGGGAAGCATACAGTGCTAGCAGCTGATTAAGCGCTCAAACAATAACAAACTGACAAGATCTTTCGCTGTCTATACCCGGGTACCCATTCCCACCTGGGTGAAGTGAGGAAAATTCATGTAAAGTGCCTTTCCCAAGGACACAACGTCGGCCCCCTGACGGAATTCGAACCCACGACCTTACAGTTGCTAGTCCAAGAGCCTAACCACTAGGCCACTGACGCCACGGCATAGTGTGTATGCGATAAGTCTCCCAAATTTCCCCAATCAATAAAAGTAGGCTTCGGCCGCCACTCGGGCAAAATTCAATATTTCCAACCAACTGAAAATGTTTATTGTGTCCAGCGCCCTCATATGATCTTATGCAATTGCGAGCATCGTAAAAACACTTGCTAAAAAAAAAAATTTCCCCACTGCCACATGATCCTAGTACTTAACTGAAAAACCACAAGTTCCCTCTGGAGTCATGGTTCAGATGAGGAAAGCTTTTTTTATCCATCAATTTTCTCCAAACAAACAAAAAATGACTGACAATTGTGGAACGCTGCGGATGATACGGTATCAAGCCTCGGATATCACTTCAGGGTTACCGACTTTTTCAAAAACCCAGTCAGGGACACACAATGTTACAACAGAACTTCTTAGTTCTAGTAAAAGCTTTGCGGCACTTGCAACACGATAAAGTCAAAAAGTGCCAAAGATTAGAGGTGTTACAAGAGAAAAACAAGCACACAAAAAGGAGGAAAGAGAAGGACGATAGTTTTTGATAGGAAAGAAGAAGCAAACCAAACCACACCAAAGCACCCGCCAACCACCCACATAAGATACCTATAGACAACCCAAAAACAAACAAAATCACACAAAGAAGAGACTGGTTTTGGTGTTTGTACATGAAATAAGGTCGCCAAATTTCCTAATCCCGGACAGTCTTGGGGAAACTTCGGGAAAGTTGACAAGCCAAGACAAGCAGGCCACTTACACTTTCCGTGTGCACGGGGTGGGTCGCAAACAGAAGGGCGCACAGAAAGGATCCCCTGGGCGCGGCGCGTTCTCCCGGCCGAGCGTGCGTGTAGCAGCCGGAGAAGAGCAGGTCAAACATTGGCAGAGACAGGACGGAGACCACGCCGTGCAGCACAATGTTGGCCACGTGGAAACCAATCGGGTGCAAGCCGCCCGCAAGCCAGTAGCTCCATCTGTTGGCGGAAGAAATTTTAGTTTTAGTTTTACAGGCAGTCCTGCAATATTTCCAGAAAAAATTGACTACCAGGAAAAAAATTGACTACCCAGCAAACCAAGCTCCACACCAGCTAGAAAAAGGGAGTTTATTTGCACCATCAATATATGGAACGAAAATTACACACAAGTCAAAGTCAAAGTCCAGTCAACAAAATAGATAGACAGACGATAGCACGCTTGCTCGTCGTCAGATTTAGTTTTAGTGTTAGTAAGGATTTTTACGACGCTCCCAACTCCATAAAGTCATTTGAGTGCCAAGGGGTGTATGTCAACAGAGAAGTCTAAATAGGGAAGCAGGTTTACTCTGCTCACCTCTCTAGTCTCAACAGCACAAAGTCTGCTTCGACTATCAAGGCACCCCGGAAATAGCAGTTCACAAGAGAGTGACAAACATACAAAAGAAGTAGAGGAAAAAATGACGATAGTAAGAATGAGGAAAGAAAAAGCAGCAGTTCCCCCTATCGTGTTCCAGCACAGTATGAGCATGACACTGGTAAATCAGCCCATTTACAATTCTACTGTACATAAGAATATGTCAATATCCCCTCTTTGGGAATGGCCTAAAGACACTATTCAGTCAGTAGCACTGCCGGGGAGGGGGGGGGGAGTGCCGGTATTTTTGCCAAGATACAAGTTAAGTACCAATGTACCCCGTCTGTATCCTGGTACGTGAGGACAAAGGTTGTGCACTCTACGCGCTGGGTGGGATGAAAGTGTTAAGTAAGAGTTTTACGATATTTGAAAAACAAGTCATCAAGTACCAAAAAAATTAGAGCTGCTACGAGAGTAACACACAAAGAAAAGAAACAGGAGAGATGATGGCTATAGGTGTTCGATGGGAAAGAAAGAAGCGGCAAACCACACCTCATCAGAGCACCCACCAACTATCCACGAGCAAATATGTCCAGAGACAGTTCCGCCGTATACTGACAAAACGCCTTTTTTTATTTGGTAGACAAAATTTTTTTGTGCTAAATCGAAAGCCTGATCAGTTAGTTACCTTCCATGTGTTAAACAATCAAAGAGAAAGTGAGACTAGTTATTAAATAAATTACAATTAAGATTTCGAAATCACTGTGTTTGTTACGCTGACAAAAAAAATATTTTTCTCGAAACAGCTGAGAAAGAAAAAAAAAGGGGCGTTTTGTCAGCTTACAGCAGAGTTGTGACTGACCTGAAGGTGAGCACCGTGAGGGGTCTGTACGACTTGTGGCTGGCGTTGGTCAGTTTCCGACCCCAGAAGTCGTGAACCAGCAGGTCGCCGATCGGCGTGGAGGGAAGGAGGTCCTTGTTCGCCTCGATGGCCTCGGAGTCATCAAAGACAAACTCTCCGTCGTAGCTGTTGGCAAAGCAGACGACGGCCGCGGTGAACACCACCACAGCTGCCACCGCCGGGCTGGAACGACAACGACGATGACGAAAAATAATGTGTGACATTGTACAGTTATATAGGTTTAGCTCACTGAAGATTGAAAGAATTTATTATGTACAAGCACTGTAGACTGAAGGTTTGTGGGATCTTTCAAAATTATATTAAATCTGAAACCATTTAACCAACTGCAACGCCCTTTTGACAAAATCTTTTATTATTTATTTTTAAGTAAGGTTTTACGACACTCGCAACTGAAAAAGGACATATGAGCGCAAAGGGGTGGATGTCAACAGAGAAGTCCAAACGGGGAATCGGGCTTACTCTGCTCACCTCTCTAGTCTCCCTTTTTACTTTGCAAATCAGAATGATTGAAGTATCCTAAAAAAAACATAGTTTTTAAAAATTTAGTCGTAAAGGTAATTTAAAAACAGCGAAAGTAAATACTGACAAAAATTTCTCACACAAGCAAAATATTTCTACTTTATCAAGTTCAAAGCTCAGGAGCCGGAACATTGCCTTAGATTTAGAATGCCTCACCTGAGGACAGGGACGGGAAGACATCTGTCGAGGAAAAACGTGGCTCTGCTAGACTCTGTGGTGTCCTCATCACTCCATCTCGATTTGTTGTTGTTGTTGTTGTTGTAGCTGTTACTGTTGCTGTTGTTGTTGACTCTGTTCTTCATCGTGCCATCCAGGGCTACTGGGGAGAGAATGGAATATAGGTCAGTGATTAGACAACATTTGTCATTTGTAAGGCGTGCTGAAAAAGTGAGTTACTTTGCAATCAACAAATGGGAGATATTGGCAGAAAATCAAGATATAATATGTCATGACATGGTGGAATCAGGCACTCGTCAATTTTGGGGCGTATGTAGTTATATTGGTGTATCATCTTAAAGCCTGTCCAGCTGATTTGCTTTTGATGAAAAAAATATCAGTTTATATCTTGGATACAATTCAAGATAATTAATTGCAATAATTGAAAGATGTCGGGGGGTCGCCTGGTTTCAGAGGTAAAATTAGCGAGAAAACGGCCGCCAAAGTTGAGTTATTTCCATAGCTTTAAAGTCCGTGGAAACTGAAAATTTACATCTTTTATGCCTTTAGTCAACATTTTTCAGTAAGATCAAAACAGAAATAGGTGTTCTTTATAGGGCATGAAAGGTGTTGAGCCAAAAAATAAAAATTGGATAAAAGTTCCCAGTTTCTTGACTTTGATTATTTTGACGAGCACCTGATTTCACCACCCTGCCTCACATTTGTAAGGCATGCTGAAAAAATAAGTTACTTTGCAAACAACAAATGGGAGATATCTGCCGAAAATCAACATGTATATCAAATAACATTTTGCTTTTTAAGGTGAACAGTCATGTCTTCTATCATTTCATCGCAAAAAAAAACCCCTGCTTATGTTGAGTGTTTTGAAGCTCAGTTCATGTCCCGAAGAGCAACCTAACTCCAAACTCTCTCTTAGAGGGGGTAAAACACTCTGGGGCCATAGTCACCTAACTGTGCCTATTATCACCGGTCACAGTGATTGACCATCGACTTACTGACACTGTCTGTATTGTATTAGTTTGTTATATCGAGTTAATTAATAAGACATACTTCTATGTTGTATTCGTAGTATTCTCTCTCTCTCTGTCACTCTCTCACACACTCTCAGTTGAGTCACTTACTCATCTATCTCTCTGTGTGCATGTTTGTCATTCTTACTATAGTAGCCTATTATTTCTCTTTCTCTCTCTCTCTCTCTCTCTCTCTGTTCCGACCTAACCTAACAGAATCATCACATCATGAGGCTAGAACTCTGCCTGTGATGTGTGTGTGGGTTGGGGGGCGGTTGTACGGAAACCGGTCATTTCGTCACACGGTCATCTCGTCACACCCCAATTATATGTGTGATGAAATTACTTCACTTTTATTATCTCTCCAAAATTATGTTATTAGAGTTTAGGAGGATCAGCGCTAGCAGTCTTTATTCTAAATCGCAATCTTATGGGTGAGCGCTCTTGTTTTTAAAAAATTTAAGACTAGAGATTTTTTTGAAGATCAATAACAAATTATTATTCATAAATTAAATCTTTGTCTAAACTGTTCCATAGTTGAACAATAGTTTAATAAAACTAAGGCAAAAACAATGTCTGGTAAAAACTTAGCAATGTTTCATTTTAAAGCAAGGGTCTAGCTTTTTAGCAAGATTCTAGTACATTTAGCTAATTTATTTTCAACGCAGAGACTACGAACTTACGTTCATGGCGCCCTGAATGTAGTTTGCAATTCAAGAATGACCTTGCTCACTTCACTCCATACCCTTGGCTTTTCCCTTTTGCTTTTGCTTTTTTTCATGCCCCCCCCTTTCTTCGAACGACTTTTATTTTTAAATTGTCAAGCGCTGCACATGGGAAGAGGATCGAAGTTGTGTTCAGCGCGCTGAGCAAGCGAGGCCTTGTCGACCGGAGCTGATATTTGCTATGCTCGCCTCAGCAATCCACTGCACTCAGATCACCGCATCATTATTTTTCACGCGAGTAGATCTATTCTTGTGGTGTTTTCTCATTCATTTTATTTTTAGTGAGCAACCGTAGCATTTTAGTCGTGCCTCTGTGCCAAAGGTGGATGATTCAGGGCGCTAAGAACGTAGCCTGCAAACTGCTTTCACGCACCGTGAACATAGATCTAGTCACAGCATATTCTAAACAAAACTTTATAAAGAAGAGGCTAGCCGTACTTATTTTTAATATGATGGCTAGACTGACCATTTACAAAAAATAGGCCTACTGAATTGTAAGTATACATTTTTAGTGTGCAGTACCTAAAGTATTTGTATTTGAGACGAAACCAGGTGCCTTAATGGCAGTGCATGTATTTTAAACAACCTCCTGTTTTCTAATGTTAATAGGGCCTAAGATAAGTACGGCTAGACTGGCAATCTAGCCGTACTTAAGTACGGGTAGACAGCCAGGCTAGCCGTACTTAAGGACGGCTAGACTGTCAGGCTAGCCGTACTTAATATTGATGGCTGAATTGTAAATGAAATTTTTAGTTTGCAATGCCTAAAGTATTTGTATTTCAGACAACGGAGTGTCTACGTACACGGTAACCGTGTACGTAGCCTCGGGGTCTACGTACACGGTAACCGGGTCCGTAGCCTCAGGGTCTATGTGCACGGTAACCGGAAGGTCAAGAGATAGTTCACTCAGCCACGCTGATTGGCTGTGGTAGGCTAGTGGTGAATATTGTGTTGGGCCTATGATTCCAGTTTTAGCAGTTCAGAAACTTCTGAAACAGTGCTGTAAATATATGAAGCTTAATCTACCTATTCCAGGAAGGAGTTGTGGTGGCCGAATGGACAGCGTGACTGCGTTCGGAGAGAACGGGCGTGGGATCGAATCCGAGGAAGAACTTTTTTTTTTCTGTCCCCCTCTTTTCTTCTCCTCCTCCCGACTGTCCAACAATTTTTCCCCATAATTATAATTCGTTGTTTTGTAGTTTTTTTATGTAGTGATTAAGCACACACATTCTGGTTTTGCCATCAAGAGGAGCTTTTAGATCTAGCTCTTTTCGATCATATCTTCATCTAGCAATTTTATAGGCTAAGTGTTCCGTTGCAGCCTATGCCTCGAACGTCTGCAAATACATGTAATTCATTGATTTGATAAGTGATAGTAATCTGAAGATGAATTGAAACTCTCTCTCTCTCTCTCTCTCTCTCTTCTCTCACTCTCTGTCTCAATCTCTCTCTCTCTCTCTTTCTTTCTCTCCTCTCTCTCTATCTCTTTTACTTTTCCCATCTCCCACTCTATCTCTTTTACTTTTCCCCTCTCTCTCTCTCTCTATTCTCTCACTCTCTGTCTCACTCTCTGTCTCAATCTCTCACTCTCTCTCTCTCTCTCTCTCTCTCTCTCTCTCTCTCTCTCTCTCTCTCTCTCTCTCTCTCTCTCTGTGTGTTAATGTATTTTTGTGTGTGATTGTAAGTGTGGTGTGTGTAAAGATAGTATTAGTGGGTGGTTGGTGGGTACTCTTGTGTGGTCTGCTCCTTCTTTCCTATTCAACATCTGTCATCCTTATCTTTCTTTTCCCTCTTTTTGTGTTTGTTAAGTTCTCTTGTAACACTAACACCTCTAATCTTCGGCACTTATATGAACTTATTGTGTTGCAAGTTCTAACTCTTACGAAAACAAAAGATAGTTTTTGGTATGGACATGGCGCTTTGGCGGCAAGCGTAAGTGTATGCCTGGTACCGAAGCTCTATCTACTTTTGCTTTCGTTACCACCCAGTCAAATCATTGTCCTGTGCTTTCACTTGCTGAAAAAAAAAGAAAGTTACACAAGCGTCTTGTTGGGCTCGACATCGTGACCGGTCAATGAACCTGTACTTTCGCATCACATTGTGAGTACCAGTGATCGCATGGGGTCACCAAAGTTCATTCAAAGTGTGCGCTGCGCGAAGTATAGGGTTCCGGAATGGGGGGGATTCAATTGATTTTTTTAAAAGGTACAGTCGGGGGGGGGGGGAGACCTGATCAAGTGCATACTTTTAAAAAAATCTCTCTCTCCCCCCCACTCTCGCGTGTTTTATGAGTCTCGTTCTCTCGTGATAGTATTACATGTATTGTGAACATCTATACTATATTTTAGCTTTCTGTTCCAGATTCGCAGAGTTTCAGTGTCACTGAATTTTGCCCTCCCTAAGGAAAGATCATGACGTGGGTGGTTGGCGGGTGGGTGCTCTGGTGTGGTTTGCTCCTGGACTTCTTTCCTATCAAACATCTATCGTCCTTATCTCACCTTCTTCTTTTTTATGTTTGTTGACTTGCATGTATTTCAACTTGAATAATTACTAGATCTAGATCTAATGAGACCTGTGTACTTTTTTTACAGGTTTGAATCGATAGGGCCAAACCTAGATCTAAGTACGGCTAGACTGGCAGTCACTTCGCCATAATAAAGAGTGTTTAGGCTTGGCGGACAGACGGTAGATCTAGCAGCTGACAGTAAATTAATTAAATCAATAATGGCGATTGTTCAGATTCCCGCGTTTAATTCCGATGTGCGTTTTTAATACCCTCAGGAATATTTCGCTTTGGTCCCTAGGTTAGGGTTAGGGTTAGGGTTAGGGCTAGGGTTAGGGTTAGAGTTAGGGTTAGAGTTAGGGTTAGGGTTTGGGTTACGGCCAGGGTTAGGGTTAGGGTTAGGGTTAGGGACCAAAGCGAAATATGCCTGAGGGTATGAAAAACGCACATCGGAATTAAACGCGGGAATTTTAACAATCGCCTTAATCATATTAGAGGTTCTAGAGATTTAATTTAATTGCTGCTATGACGACAGCTGTACTGTAGATTCTACAGTGTGTCTCCAAGTCCAAGTCCAAATTAGTCCAATCTGACTGGAGTCAAGAGTCTTTAATATCATGTAGATTCTAGATCTAAAAATCTAGCTTAATTTTGTACAAATTGCAAAGAAAAAGCACCATGCTTAGACCTACCTCCGTGCGTTCCATGGGCTATTTATGTGAGTACGTCTTGGCGCGCGCTGGAACTAGTGAGTGGAAGCAAACACTTTCTTCGCCGTGAGTCACACACAGTGTAGACGTCAAGTGTGTCCTGCCACTTCCAGCAAGAGCCTGAGAGGGAGCCCAAACATGACGCTCTGAGTGTTTGTGTATGTGGTGGCAGCGGTAGACTCCAGGCCTAGCAGTCACACGGACGACAAAAACCTGCAGGACCACTGGCCCTTCACTGTTAAGGCTGCTGCAAATATTATTATGGTCCAAAACCGTCGGCCTTTTAAAAACAAAACAAAAAAGTTTTCTCCTTGTTTTTGTTCATTTTAGTGACAATTTTACGGCTCTTGCGACACAGTTAGGTCATATAAGTGCTGAAAAATAAAGTTATTGTAAGAGAGTAACAAGCACCAAAGGGAAGGGGAAGAGATAAAGGCGATAGGTGCTTGAACTTGAAAGGAAAGAAAAAGCTAACCACAGCCGCGGCAGAGCACCCGCTTATCACCCAAAGCCTTTAGTCGTTCATAAATCTGCAGCACAATATTATCATAAAAGTGAGGCAACCTTTATTTTTGGTATTGTATGCCTACTTTGTCATTCTGCAAAATTTTGAGATTGTATAAAACGAAGCCGTACAAATGTTATGTTCATTCTCACTAAACTACAGTTTAACATTATTGTGATTTTGGAAGCTGTACGACTTGCAGTCACAGGGAAACAGCCATGGTCAATAAGCTTATAATCGTCATAGAAAAACACTGTTTGTTCCCCTTGGTTTACGTGGCTCTGCGACATAATTATTGTTATCGTAGGTCTATAACAATTAATTGACTAAGAACCAATAGGCATGATCAGAATCTAATATTAATTTTATAGTGATTGGTTGTTTGTGTGCCCGAATTCACGTCATCGTTGTTGTGCAGGAATTGAGATGGTTGTATATTTGACAGACGGTGGGACCTTTTTTTTAAAATTTCCTAATAGGCTAACAATAATAGTCTAGAAACATTGCCTCATATTGCGTGTAGTCCAATAACAATAACCTAGGGTCAAATGGTTTTCTTTTTCTTGTTGGTAACTTCATAAGGTCATATTAGGAGGGGGATAGGTGGAGGGGAGGAGGGGACTCTCGAAGTCTAGACGGTGTTCTCATTCAAAGGTCTCAGGTTCGAATCTGGGTAGCGACCGAAAAATATTCTTAAGAAAAATTGTCTCCTTTCACGGATCATTTCCTGCTCTCCAGCAATATTCTGTCTTCTGCATTCGTCTCTACTTTCGACACCCGCCCCCTCACCTCCTTTTGCCCCCTCCTCAGGGCTCCTGACTCTTTCTGCAGCTTTTCTACTGCTACTCCTTGGCCCCTTCTTACTGCTGTCATTCAGCCACACCTCTGATATTTTGGTAGAAAAGAACTACACCTAGCCTTCTCGGACAAGGGCGAAAAATGTCTGAAGTCCCGTGTCTAAAATCGATAGGAGTAGGCTTTGGCCGCTACCCGAGCAAAATTCAAACTTGCCGACCAACTTTAAAATGGTCAATGTGCAAACTTTAAATTACTCTATGGTTTTACTTAGACTAAATTCACATATATTTATTTGTTGTTTCTAAATAAAAGTCAATAAATGTTTCCTAAGGCATACAAAGAATCGCAAAATTTCCCTTATTTTGAAAAAAACGCCAGGCTTGGGGGTTTTTTTGTTTTTGTTTTGTTGTTTTTTTAAATTATGTAAAGCGGCTTTTCTCTTGTTCTGTTCCTTGTTGTATATGTATGAAGTTACACCTTTTTAAATCATTGTCTCCCTTACCCAAGCATTTATTAAGGGTTGCTGTTGATGAAATACTTCATTGAATCTACTTCATGAATGAGGAGTCGTTTGGTATTGTGACGGGATGTTCTACCTTCAAAATCAACTATGCTTGGCCCTGTAAATCATACCACATTTCAGTTGAGAGGCGATACGGTATTGTGAAAAAACTTTTATGTGGAGATGAAGGAGGAAAAGGCTCGACGACCACAAGTGCTAAAACAATAACGCCCATACCTCCAGCTCAACATGGTCGATGGTCTTTTTTCTTTTTCTTTTCTTTTTTTTTTTTTGCTGTCGTTTGTTTGCTTTTTTTTTTTTTTTTTTTTATTTGTTGCTTTTTTCTGCTTTTTCTGTTTTCTATTAAAAAAATTTAAATATTTTTTGGCAAGTGTTAACTGCGCTCGCAACTGCATAATGTCATAAGCTGTTAGATGTTACCTACCCACAGATCAGGGGTGTGGCTGAAAGACAGCAGTAAGAAGGGGCCAAAGAGTAGCAGTAGAAAGGTTGCAGATACAGTTCGGGGCTCAGAGGATGGGGCAAAGGGGGTCAGTGTGGGGGGCAGAAAGTAGAAAGTGGAGACAAAGGCAGACGTCAGAATTAAGGTTAGATGTGGAAAGGAGGTGAAAGGAGACAAATTTGAAGATTAAAATTTTCCGTCGCTGCCAGGTTTTGAAACCGGGACCTATTGAAGGAGAGGCGAATATCGAACCTCCGGACTACGAGAGCACCCGATGGTGGTAGTTGTGCTACCGAGAGACAGAGAAAGAGAGAGACAGAGACAAAGGCAGATAGACAGACACACATACAAAGAGAGAGAGAGAGAGAGAGAGAGAGAGAGAGAGAGAGAGAGAGAGAGAGAGAGAGCGGGAGAGAGAAAGAGAGAGAGAGAGAGACTGAGAGAGAGAGAGAGAGAGAGAGATGGAGGGGGGGGGTGCAGAGAGAGAGAGAGAGAGAGAGAGAGAGAGAGAGAGAGAGAGAGAGAGAGGGGGGGGGGTGGACATAGAGAGAAAGACAGAGAAAAACGGAGGTAGAAAGCAGCAGACAATAGGCAGGAGAGACGGAAAGTTCACACCTAATAAGAAATGGAATACTTGGATAAAGGCTCCAGGTTCCATAAATCTTTGTAAAGCATTCTCTCAAAAGCCATTTCCTCAGTCATTTCCCTTCATCTCCAGTCATTCGCGAGTCTATAAAGCCTCACCGATCGTTTGGCCTTAAAGTGTTTGTTTTATATAACACAACACAACCTCACAAGTAAAATGTTTAAGACTTAAGAGACAAAAACACAGTTGAATTTGAAGGTAGAACACTCAGTCACAATACCAGAGGAGTCCTCTTTTATGAAGTAAGTAACAGCAACCCGAAATAACTGCTTGAGTAAGGGAAACAATTGCGTTAAAAAGTCTTGTTAAACAACAGTAAACAGAAAAACAGAAAAGCCGCTTTAATAAGTGAAAGATAAATCTAGCAAAACTTTTAAATGTCGAAATGTTAGGAAATCTTTCAAACCTTAGTAAGCTCATAGAAAACACATTTTTCAAAATGAACAAAATGACAGATAGGAAATATTCTAAGCAAAACCATAATATAATATGAATGTTAGTACACCAACTATATCAACCTGTAACAACCTATTAGGAGGTCCCTTGTCATTTCACTTAACGCCCTGGCGATATTCTGCTTTTTCCTTAAATCGGGTGATAATGTAAAAATATCGATGAACAAAACACAATCAATAAGAAATGGAATAACTAGACTTGAATGGTAACTAAGACTGCCACTTGTTTGTATATGGTCGAATAATGGCGTCTAAGAAATATGTAATACTGGTATCGAATCCAGTAGTAACTAAACCATTATGATAATAATATTGAAAGTTCAAATTGGTATCGATTATTTCTTTGTCGAGCTTTAACAAATAGTAACCGGATGACGGGAAATCGAAAATGACAACCTAAGGAATAATGACTGATGAGATATAGGTTATGTGATAACGATAACTATGGAGACCGAATGGTATCGTATATTGAGATATAATGAACTATGAAGTGTGTCGAGTAATGACAGAATATATCAAATAATGATTAGGCAAGATGTCGAAAAATCACATAGTAAGACGGGTATGTACTAATGACAGGTAGGTATCAAATAATGACAAGAAGGAAAGTATCGACTAATGACTAAAAGTAAAGTATCAATTATAGACCTTGCACCTTTGAATGGAAATATCGAATAGTTGCAGCCAGAAAGATATCGAGTATACCGGGAAAGCGAGTAATCAACCCCCGGACCCCCCGGACCCCTCACCCCTCACCCTTTCGGTTTTATCACAAGGCGACGATAGTCCATAATGTGGCTCAAACTCTAATATTGATCTTTCATGGTCAATTTTTGGGCTTTTTGAGTTATTGATAACATCCTAAGACTTTTTCATCTGTCTTGCTTTGACCCACCACCTATATCTTTAAGTGAAAACGACATAATTGCCTTTGAAAAAAGTGTGGATCGCCTGGAGTCACAGTTAAAATAAGCTAGAAAATGGCCGCCAAAGTTTGGTGATTTCAAGATCTTGAATGTCCTTGGAAACTTAAAATTTACATAATATATTGGGTCTTTGATGAACAATTGACAGTAACACAGAGTATGTTTTTAAAAGAACATAAAAGGTGTTAAGACATATATATATATATAATATTGCTCAATGGATAGCAAAATGTCAGTTTCTATGATTTGATTATTTTGACGAGCGCCTGATTTCACCACGATGCCTCACAAATTAATTCACAAATTTAATCTAGTAAATCGAATCAAACTTTAGAAAACAAATCACTTAATTGCTGAGTGTAATATTATAATAACTTGATGAATACTGATGAAAATTCTAAATGCAGACAATTCAATGGGATAATAAAGACCCTTTATATGGAGCCCGGAGGTGATGCGCGGTGGGGAAGCATGTAGCCGGTTTGGATGACGCGTTTCGACATGTGTCAAGACGGTCTGCTGAAACCGAAACGGCTACGTACAAGACTGGTTGGGCCAGGACACTTTTACCCCAGTTGCAGGCATCCGTTCTGGAAAGTCTCAATTAAAACATATTTTAATTTTTTTTTTAAACCTAACATTTATTGGGGACACGTAATCATGCTATTCACTATTCATTAAGCAACAACACAAAAAAAGAAGGAAAATTTTCCGTATAGCGAGTTTGGTAATAACACGATGATATGACCTTATGCAGTTGCGAGCGCCGTAAAACACCCCCCCCCCTCCCAAAAAATACAACAAAAAAACATTTAATTAAAAATTAGTACCCGGTATTTTCCGTAAATCCCACATTTGGGGGCTCTCGTAGCCTAGAGTTAAACGAAGGTATACAATTACAAGACATAGAGACAAAAACACAAGCCTATAGATTACAACTCATTAGGAACATTGTGAACAACAAAGAAAGACTCCCCTTAGCTAACTACTACTTAGGATTAAACATGACAGGCCGCACACAGATGGACAACACAGTCCCACACTTTTTCGGACGACATTCTTCATTCTTCAAAAACATATCCCCGAGCATACAAACAACGCGCCAAAATACTCACTCTCGCACGCACAACGAAAGACGTGCACACAGCGCTAGTAAAATGACAAGCAACACCATTATACGATCAAATTAAATAAGATTTCGGGGGTTTCCAGATTTCTTGACCTACATCAAAAGTGGGCATTGCCCTACCTATAGGAGAAATCTGGTTTCATTCGAATGTATATTTGTTTGGTTATAGAAAAAAATCTCCTTGTCTTTTACAGAAACTGAACAAGGGGCAAAAACTTTACCTTCGATTTTTATCAAAACAGCATTTTTCGGGATAGCCCCTTGTGCTTAAAAGCGACCATAATAAACTAGTCAACAAAAATTAAGGAACATTTGAGAAAAGGTGTATAACCTCGAAAGCAAACTTCAACACGCAATGAAATTTGGTACACATTTTAACCAACATGTGTATAGCAAGTACCAAAAAAGAAAATGAAGTTATTCCATTTTAACTTGCTTGAAAAGTTAATTGAGTTTGGTAGGGGTTAAAATCCCAAATCCCAAAAATTGTCAAGCGGTTTCGAAGTTATTTTAACTTCTGACTGCAACAAAAACAAAACAGTTC